TGGAGGGAGGAAGAAAATACTTGTACGATCACCAATTTCCCGTTACGATAGCGGTCCCGTCTCAAGAAAAATCAGCCTCCAATCAATCTCGCCTTTCCACTGGATCCACGTGTAACTTTTTCCATTTCCGCAAGACATGAAAAAGAAAGAGTCAAAATAAAATAAGATTAATAGCTAAACAATAAATAATGATAATAATTGTATCACCTCGATGATGATGGACGGATTTTGGGCAAACCTGTTTTAGATGGGGAAGCAATTCAGATCGTGGTGTGATGAAAAAAAAAAAATGAAATGAAATTAGCGGTGATTACAGACGGACAGTTCGAGGAGGGTGTGCTTTATAAATGATTTTTCGATCGTTATTACTGGCTGTAATGGCCATCCCGAAAGAAGATCTTCACATCTCCGTTCCAATTTCCCTTTCCATTCCAACGGAAAGCGGTGCCCGGTTCGAATCCTGTGGTCGTCACTTTCCACCAGTGCGGGTAACCCACTGAGCTGGTCGGCGCTAAGGGTGAGAAATAACCTTCAGGGAAGCAATTCTGCAGAGAGTTCTCCCCACAGGGTGGCGGCGCCGGATTACACTGCGATCCGGTATGGGAAGTTGGGGTAGGAAAGAAATGTCGACTTTCAACTTTTTTTTTCTTTTTCTTTTTTTTTTCTTCATTTCCTTCCTTTCTTTTTTCTCTTCCTTTCTTCCAAATTAAATTAATTGATATGTTTTATACTAGTACGAGTAGAAGAAATGTCTTTGTTTCACCCGTTATTGACTTTATGATATGTGAATCGATTGTGCGGTGTGGTCAATCCCTGGTGGAGCCTCGTGTTTTGCTCTCGTGCGAGCGATAATGTATGGTGGTGATGGATGGGCGGAGGGCTCTTTCTCAGAGGAATGACTGACAGTGTCATTACCATAATTAGCTTATTCGGTTCGCTTGATATATGATGATGATGTTCACTGATTTCCTTTCTTTCTTTCTTTCTTTCTTTCTTTCTTTCTTTCTTTCCTTCCTTCCCCTTTCTTTTCTGATGGATGATCGACGAGAGCTTCATCGTGTCACCGGCATAATGGTTACCAGACTTTGGCCTTCCAGCATTGAAACCCCAACCAACACAAAATCCACGTGGGAAAGACGGGGAACGTTTTTAAAAGAACATGTAACGACCTGACTGGGCAATTCCACCCTTTCCATCTAGCAATTCTAAAAACCTCCAACATCAATATGATACCTCAGTCACAAACAGGCTCGGCATGTTCCGCCGTTTCATGTTTATCAAAAAGGGTCTTTCTTTATTTTCTTTTCTTTTTTCCCTCTTTCTCAATGGGCATTGCAAAGCACCGGTACATGCTGTGCCCCCTGTGACCTTGCAAACGGGTGAATGAAGTCAATCCGCCCCCCGCATCTATCCATCCTAGCCCCTATGGTGCGGAGGAAATATGGTACTATAAGTTATGCTGCAGTAGGTCCAAGTTAAAGGAGAGTTGACTAGCGCCGGGCACCGCGGATCAATAGCAAAAGCAATCTATCTCTAGCCGGCCAGTCTCGCCCAATGGTGAAAGCGGGGGGAAGGGGGTGGTTCCTCATCTCATCTATGACATAACACTCATGAGTTATACTTACCCATTCACTTGTTCCCAGGTGGATCAACTTATCACCGCAGAGATCGTTGGCTTCGCATCCCGATATTAAGCGTCCAACGCTCGCGCTTGTTGAAAGCTTTGAGCATCTGCGACAGGAGGAGCAACGAGGATACCCAGGTGAGACAGGATAACCCCCAGGGAGGACTTCGAGCGGGGCGCGCGGGGTGGAGGAGCATGTCACTCTGGATGTACCATCGGGAAAGAGGGACGTGGTGTACGTGCGGTTGTTGAGCAAGAGGGATTTCGCGAATGCGGGGAAGTGCCTCAGAGCTGGCTTCTTGAGGGAGGGGGGAGAACTAGTGGTGGCCCGCGATGCTGAGAGGTACCGGAGGGGTTTTTTCTCCAAAGGGAGGACCCCCACTTTCGGCGGGGATCCCCCCATTCCCAGATCAGCCGGAACCCGTTCCACTTCATACTGATCAATCGTCAACCTTGTAAGGCCTGACCTCAAACTCCCACCAGTCCCCCCCTCGAGCGTGCTCCTGAACCCGTCTGTTAACAAGAACTTCGATGCTCATAGCGCTAACCGCAGACTGGCCACCCTCCTGTCTGGCAGGAACTCAATCGGGAGCGGTTCTGCGCTCCACGCTCGTGCCCACGCGGGCAGGATTCTAGATTCACCCATGTGCGGCCCGGACTGTTTGGACCCTGCTGGAGGAGGCCGAAAGGGGGTGTGGAGGCTGCTGTCATTGCTGTGAAGCGCGAGACAGGCACGTGTCCGTTCCGGACATCGGTCTGGGGATTCGTGGGATTAGGATGTCGTTTAGTATTATGGCCCCGTTCTGGGCGAGGCGGATTTTGAAGATCTGGAGGTAGGGGGGAAAGTTAGATATTGTGTTGTAGATCTTTACCCGAGCATATATATGATATGAGGTGGATGGTGCTTGAGCGGGAGGAGTTTGTAACGTACCGATCCATCGAGTTCCGGGTGGGGTAGTATATGTCCCTGGATAACAAATTCCACTGAACTGGTCACCAGATAGCGAAGTACTGTACCCATTGCTAAGCCTTCCAGGTTGTCAGTCGGGGTGACATTCGGATTCAAGGACGATAGCTCCTCAAAGAAATGTCTTCTCCGGCCAACCCCCTCCGGCAAACATTCGCTATCCCCATCCCTATCGTGACCGGCGTGGACAGGGACCCCAACAACTCCACCACCAAATGCCAAAACCGTGCAAGCAAACCAGTCCCTCATCATGTCGAAAAAAAAGTTTGCTACGTTTTTCCCTCCCCGCTTCCTCCCCTTTTCTTGCGCTCCACGCTGGTCCGCTTACCTACACCAACAAACAAATCCCTTCCCACCTCCCTAGCTGGCTACACCCTGCATGCTTGAGCAAAGGAACGGATGTCTGTGGAAACGTCGTAGACGACACATCAACAGAGAGCATGGTGGTAGCCATGGCATTTCATAATTCGGCTCTCTTCCCCCTCATACGGGTCACACCATCCACCCTTCATTCCTTCATTCCTCCATCCCTTCGGTCACTATGTCCACCGTTGGGCTGGCGGGCGAGGATTGGGTACCATCATACAGTGTTGGTGCCGTGTGAGTGTTTGAAGTTGGGAATTTGTGGTGTACCGGTAGAGAGTGAGTTGTATTCGATGACAAAGCTAAATTAGATCCTCCCCCAGTGATGGAGCCGCATTCTCTTTTTCCCTTCCCGGATTCTCTCTCCCTTCTTCTTTTCTTCAGCCCCCCGCCACACGTTAGCTTCGCATTGCATGCCGTATCGCTCACGAGTATGTCTGATGCCAACAAAGTTTTGAGATGTACCTGCCTGCCTTCCCATACGGTTGAGGGATACTTCGAGGCTCGGTTGTCGCTCGTTAGTTGTCTTTGAGGGATGTAAGCCATCGTCCCTCAGGGTAGATTAAGTTACCGCTCCGCAGCGTCGATACTAGTACTGGGTTTGACCGCGCTGCAACTGTGGTGTTTGCTAGCTGGCAGACGTCGCAGCACGCACGGTGCTGCTGTAACACAACAGCCGTGATACGTGTTTGTCTTGGTCTGAAACGTTCAAATGTGTTGATCTGCTCATGGTTCGTAAAACCTAACCGCCTCCCTCTGTCTCCCCGCTGCCAGCGTTACCGTGGCAACAGGTCACGAAAGAGCGCTTATGCCAGCAGAACCCCAGAGGCTTTGTCACAGGGACACAGGGACAGGGCAGAGAGCGTGCGAGAGCGTATGAGCCCAGAGGCGTGGTATGATAGGACCATGATACCGCAGGGTGGAGTAAGGGTGGGGGGTGGGAATTAGGAATCTAACTTACCGTACGTTGCTGTACTCTAACTCGTACAGTACATTGCAGCAGTTAATACCTGCAAAGCAAAGGGTCGCTCATTCCAATCGCATCGAGCACCAGTTGAGGGGGGCAGGTGTGGGGTTTTTATTCTCTTTGGTCGGAGGCCACGCGAAGTGTGGATTACTCGTGCTTGCTTAACTTATAGAATCAAGGGGGCGTAGGAAATTTCCTGCAGCCCAGCTTTTCCGTGAGGAAAGATTGAATTAGGATGGGGTCATCTGATGGCTATTTCATTTTTCCTCGTCCTCCTCGGGAAGAAAAGGGTCAAGTCGTGGACTGATTGTCGGGGTTTTGGCTTATTCTGAAATCCTGGGATGGATGGAATGAGGCCTTATGCACTGGTTCTCGTGGCAGTACGGAGTTTTGCACTTTGGGAGGATTGGGGGGAGCGGTTGCGAGATGACGCGTTGCTGAGGAGTGAGGGTTTGCGCATGGGAAGTCACTCGCTGCGGAATTACCGGTATTAACTTAATGAAGCGGAGGGTTTCTTCTACGACCGTCGCGCAGGTGCGATGCAGTGATAACGCGCGAGACGGCAATATCGGGACGGAGGAATTGATGGAGACGGCTTGCCCGTGCTCGCACGTTCGAGCAGGTGCTGGAAATGCCTCGATGGTTATCGTGCCCATTCAATTCATTACGGAGCAAGCAGGGATGCAGAAAGAGAGGCGAGAGCGCCCCAATCCCCAATTGTTGAATCCAAACCTATCCCATTTGAAACCCGTTGGTGAAGAAAGAGTGTGGTAGAAACTACCGTATTCGGGTGCGGTGCCGAAGTCCTTTTATCATTGGGGGGCTGTCGATGCCCTTCTTGAGTCATCTGGACGGGACTTGTGAATACCGGTAGCGCACCGGCTCGAGATGCGGTCAATATACAGGCACCATTCATCTCCGCCTGATGGAAATTCTCGAATGGAGTGGCACCGCTAATCCCATACACTGGAGCGACCATGCTCTACCAGCAGTGTTAGCTCCCTCATTCGCAGCGCGGATGACCGTCGGCATGTGGGGGTTGTTCACCATGGAGGGGAAGTTCATCCTGTTTTTTTTTTGTTCCTTGTGGGGGAGCCTAGGCGTGGGTGCGTACTACTGTACCGTACCCGCCCGACTCCCGCTTTTGGGTCACTTTTCACTTACGAGTACCGTGTCGAACTGTGTTCCACTCGAGTGTGATACATAACTTACTGCAGATTTGCAAAGAGTCCCGTATTATTTCTTTTCTTTTCACGAGAGGCACCATACCTGGTGCACATCGCGATGCGCTAGCGCATCAATTGGAAACAAAAAACAGAGGCACAGCGTGTGATACGAGCACCGTACTAGTGCTGTGATGATGGTTTGACCAACTAGACAGTCCACTGGGGTACCCTATGACGAATGGGTCTCTAAAGTCAGCAGCGGTTGAAGTGTGGGGGATACTGAACTGGGGCTGAAACTCGAAGGATCGGTATAATGACAGAACAGTACAAGTACTGTGAGCCCTAACTTTATGTTTACTCTTTTGTTGCACACTTCATGACCTCGAGTAAAGTCCCAAGCTCTGTTACCCGGACCCGATCAAGCTGTCTCTCGTCACCACAAAGTGACGGGGGTGTGCACGCGGCGGGCGATCATTGGACCGTCATTTTTTCTTCTTCTTCCTATCTCTCCTTTGCTTGCAGAAGTACTCACTCCAGTGGACGGAATGTCTCCTACACCCACTCCAACACACTACCAATTCGTTACCCTCCCCGCCCTCGGGGTAGCTTTTTCAAGAAGTCTGTTCCCCAGTGGGTGTGTGAGGGAGCGACACGTAGCAGTGGGTTTTCTGTTGCTGTCCGCTATTGCGGTTCCTTGCGGTAGGAGGGAGAGAGAGGAGGAGGAGGAGGAGCGGAGAGGTCAGTCCGTGAGCTTTGCGGGATTGCTACTCGCCAGCGCGTGTGCTCGAGTACTGTTTTGCTATTAAGCCCTTGGACCTTTCCCTCGACCCTGCAAGGTTTTTTTCCTCTCTCCCGCTTTCCTTTTTTCCCTCGAGTTCTGCAGTGCAGTGCACTTTGATAGTTGCGAAAAACAAAGAATCATTATTTAACCCCCCCCCCTCCCCGGTCCCACAAGCCCCAACACACGACAACGATCACCGCATTCTATCCTCACGAAATATCAACCGCTGTCACACACACAGACACACACAAAAACAAACACTGCTATCGTACTACTACATAAACCACGCTACAAACACCCGAGCTCCCGATAAAAAAGATAGCGGTAACTGAAAGGGAAGACGCTCACACGAAAATCGAATACGGGAGAGCCATGTCGCGACAACTACAGAGATCAGCCTCATCACCGGCTACAATGCACCGCCGACCTTCGGAAAAATCATCAGACACAACAACCTTCATGCCGCAATCCACCTCGGACGACACCTGGGTGTTTTTCCCGCAACCTAGCTTCTCGGACATGAACGACGATGAGGATGATGATGAGGTGGAGGAGGGCGAGGGCGAGGACGACAGGAGAAGGATTCAGGAGGAGCGAAATGGCTGGATGACTGCATTGTGGGGGAGGATTTTCAGGGCTAAGAGTTGGAGCGCGGGTTCTTCGGTTAATGGGGATTACGAGAAGGATCGGTAGATGGTGGTTTTTATCATCATTTCCCCCCTCGTTTTTTCTCTTCATCTCGGTATGTTCGGACTGCATCATTTGGAGAGATTGTTTTTCTGAGTTCGTGATGCTAATGTTTGTGGTGCAGTAGTGTCCCAGCCGTAACAGGCCTCCCTCCCTCATATTATCACGATTCCCACGATCCTAATGAGCCACGAGAAACCCTTACATTCATTCCTTGTACAATACCCCTCCATACTGAACCGGCACCATCGCCATCTTCGCCGTCATCACCATCGCGTTTTGGAGTTTTTTCTCTTCACTTTTCCCACGCAATTGGTTAGCGGAAGATCCCCGGCGGGCAATTGATCGTTTACCGGCATCTCCTTTGTTCATACCCCCCCATCCCCCATATCAGCCACGCATCCCATCATCAGCGTCACCTTCATCATCGCCATGCTGTATTTATCGGTGTTCGGACTTGTATTTCATACCCATTTCATAACAACACTCTAGAGAAACGGGTGTTTGGTGTTTATTTTTATCGATTCGGGAAAAAGACTTGCTTACGGGTTTGATTCTCTGTCTATGCTGTTTAAGATTTCTTTTGTAAACATACTATCTCTTTTGTATAGGATTTTTGCCATTTTCGTTTTCACTTTCATTTCTCGGTCATCATGGTGTTGGACATTTTGTGTTTTTTATTTTTATTTTTTGTGTTCGATTTTGGGAAATGGCGGTGTTTTGTATCGTATTAAGGCTAAGCTAGGTTGGGTTTATTTGGAATTTTTTATTTGTTTGTTATCATCGCTTTTGCTATTTTTACTATTTCCATCATCCTCATTATCGGAATTGTACTGTAAATATCCGGATTTACCCTACCCCCCTTTCTACCCTGCGTTATACCCCCTCCGTGCAATTATTCAGTTGGGAAACAGACTTGCCGTGCATTTTCTACGAAAGTTGGATCCTCGCCCTGCGTTTTCTTTCTTACCGTCGAAGATGGTACCGGTCTTACCGGCGTTTACTCTACCGATACTTCATCATTATTATCATACTTGAACACTTGTGACTGTCACCTCCCAAAATCCGGTCGATGCGATACTGGTGCTGTACTACTCTTACAGTACTCAGCAAGCACAGCCCAGCAACCAAAAAAAACTGCGAGTAAACTGTCGCCCAAAAGGGTGCCAAACCCACCCATTCAGCGGGCCAGCCAGCCAGCCAGCCAAATACCTCACGCGATATCCGCCGCTTTCTCCACCCACCACCATCATCCATCCACACAAGTAGTATTCCAACCCCCCCCCAACCGAGGAGTCGCTGCACACCGCGAGCACAACGCATTGCTAACCAACCGGTGTAAACCAAACCAAATAACCACAACCGTCACAGCGAATAAACACCGTTTGTCACAATGACCATCCCTACCATATCCCCCCTCTACGGTACTCGAGCACCCTATCTGCCCTGCGCAAGGTTCAAGGCTGGTCGTGTTTCAAACGCTCTCCTCGGATTCGCTGCCTTGGGAGGGGAACTCGGCGGGGGTGTCATGCGTGATCACTCGGGGCTAACCTCCTAGGTCGGCACCGGTGGCGATGGAAGGCGACTGACTGACTGACAGACTGACAGACTGAGTGAGTGACTGAGTGAGGGATATTTTGGGAGTGGATACCGTACTGTAGTTTTTCCCTTCTCCCCCCCCCACACTCATGCTGCTGTACTTGTACTGTACGAGTAATCTGACGTCGGGACTGGTTGATTGACTGACTGGGTGAGTGAGGTTAGTGAGGTGAGGCTGTAATTTTTTAATAGAGGGGTCTAGAAGGGTGTCCACGGGATTACTATTGATTACGGTATTGGTTTTGAGGCTGTTTTGGTTGGACGGGCGGGAGGGGGTGGTGGCGGCGATGCTACGGTACTGTGCCGGTGTGGTATGGTACAGTACACGAGTGCTTTGATCGTGCGCCGGTTTGATACGTATCGTAGTCGCGGTAGATCCGCCATCTGTTTGTCCACTTGTTTGCTCCTTTGAGTGGTTGGGTCGATCGCGATCTTGTGTGTGAATGAGTGCCCTACCGTATGATAGACTACGGTAGGTTACCAATTAGACTATTGTGCCCGCCCTCGTTCTCGGCCTTGCTTGTTTTGTTTTTGTTTTGTTTTCTGACTTGCCTACTTGTGGCGCTGGTATCGATATCGGTATGGGATCGCCGGGCGAGACGGGGCGTGTCCATCGCGGAAGAGGACGCCGTCATTGGCCAGCGCGGGGAAACGGGTTAAAAGCACAAACGGAACGGAACGGGGGGAGAAATAAATTATACAGAAAATAAAGGAAAAAAAATAAATCTCTGACAAGAGTGGGACTTGAACCCACGCTCAGTTTCCCGAACCAGGATTCGTGTTAAGTTAACCTTAACCTGGCGCCATAACCAACTCGGCCATCTTGCCATATTGAAAGTTCAAGTACATTCTGACATAATTATGGTGAATTTGTACTACGTGGACTACTTTGGTGCGGTGTTTATTGAGAGCTGAGTTGGCGGGTCCTAAAACGGGGGTTATGGAGTGGATGTCGCTGAGCTACCTGTAACAACGGAGTGGATGGAGTTGGGTGGAGCAGTTATTCAAGACTTTTTAGCATTCGGGTTGTCAATGATATTTTTGCTGCGTCCTAGGACTGTGGTGCTCGTTTCCCAGCTTTCCTGAGGCAACATATGGCGGGCGGGCTTAATATCTGTATGATATATCGAGTCCAGTGAGAGCGTTTGGCCACCCGAGCTTGGAGAAATTGCGTAAGGACTTACCGTATGCATACTGATAGTGGGGCTGATAGGATAGGGCGTGGAAACGGAGATTAGCTCCTGGGACTGTGCTCAAGCAGAGGGGTGGGGCTGGAGGGATGTGGTACTGTACGGTATCTGTCCTGCCGTGATTCTGTGAGATTGAATGGATTGGGGAGGTCGGGTTCTTGGTCCTTGTTGGTGGCGTGGGCTTTTGTTTTGGCCAATTTTTCAGTTTTGTCTTCCGCGCCGGTGGCCTTGTGTACCGTACCGTACTGTATAAAGTCCAAGAATGCGGGAGTGTGATGTGGCGTGGAGTTGCCACCCCTGATGAGGCTTGATGATTTCCGTTTGTCTCAGGGGGTTTGAACAACTCACTTTTCTCCGGTGTTTTTTCCCTGCCCGGGGTGGGGAATTTCCAAATACATATGACGCTGGGCCCTTGATGTTGGAGTATCTACGATATTCTTTAAGCTTCTCAGTAACTCTGGAATTAAAGTTGGGTATGGGCTAGGAGTGTCAGACTGGTGCCCGACAATCCATTTGCTTCCCCTGCAGAACAGCTGCCCAAATTCAATTAGCACATTATGAGGAAGGAGCCATGAGGAGGCCGTGAGCTGGGGATCCTTACTAAGCTTCTCTGGTCCTAATATATACCGTAAGGCAGGACATTATGCCTTTTCGGGGCATCCTTGAGGTAGGTGTGCCCCCGGTGTTTTGTGTTATCGTATACCTGATGGTGGGGTTGTCTCCTAATCATACTTGGGGCCTGAGCATGGGAACATGGAGAGCTGCATCACTGGCCACCACGGGGCACTTCTAACTGCATTCGGGTAGACATAGTAGGCCATGTGGCCTGGAAACGTTCACCCCCACCCCCCTGCGAAACTTTCTGAATACGGATCGATTGATTGAGGGGATGTCTGTAGGCTGGGTATTCTGTGTGGGTAATGGAGATCCCAGTGATGAAGAAACTTGGCCAAAATGGCATGTAGGTAGTTGCTTCTTTCTCGCCGGAGGGATTATATTGAGTCCATAATACTTGCAAATTAAGCCGGTAGAAGTTCGGGCTTGAAGTGCTCGTTTTATGTTCATTAGTTGGAACAGGCACCTGAAGCGCGGTGATATAATATCGACTGTATAAGGTAGGTGTCTGTCTACTTACTATATGCCCTCTTCCTTTGGGTGGTCCGCACAGCTCGTGGGTAACTTTGGTCACAGTAATTGAGCTGGGTGAGGAAGTCTCGGGTATTTATATTGCTTTGCATCATACTGTGGTTGATTTGAATCTAAGGAGGGGACCGGATCCATCTAACTATGGTAAGTTACTTTCTCCCTTCTGCTGTAACGCCTTCTATTTGCAACCAACGGGGGTCCTTGTGGGATTGGCGGGGTGGAAGGAAGAAGGAAGGGAAAGGAGAAGGACAATAGGAGCACAAAAAATAAGGATCTGAGAGGGCTTCGATCGGGGCCTCCTTACTGCTGATGTGCGGGGGCTCATCCCGGGGGCCCGGGGCTTGGATGAAGTCAACATAGAGAGGTAGGAGAGAACGGGGTATGAGAAAGTAAATTGCATACACATCTCTCGTGGTTGCTCCGCTTGTAGCTTGCAATCTTTCTTGGGCACTTTATAAACCCAGCATACAGGGGGAGTTGGGGTCCAATAGTCGATTTATATTTCCCCCGCCTAGAGCTAGAAATGGGGAGTATGTGTTCCCCTTCGTTACTAAGTAAAATTTCTTGGATAGAGGGTTGTGGTCAGCTGGTCGCAGGCGCTTGCAGGGAAGGTTGGGACTTCGCCTCTCGACTGGGGCTTGGCCTAGTGGGAATCAAGGGGGAGGAAGATAGACCTTGGCGAACCACCCTTTCCACATGAGGATTATCAGGTTCTTGGCCAAGGTATATTACTAGTATATGAGATTCCTTTGACCTGAGCACAGATCTGAGAGGAGCTAATAGCTGGACCCCCAGTTTGGGGGGCTCCGGATCATTGTTATTGGTTTTACCGTGAAGTGGAAGACACTGCCGGAGTTTTACGGCTCTGGCTCTGGCAATGGAGGCTCTGTCCTGTCAAAGATTTGAGTACGGAGTATCAAGCCCATTCACATGATATCACTCGACCTAGTTTCAAGCATATTCCCCACTCTGGGACTTCGACCATGTTACGCCTCCTAATGGTAAAATGAAAACCTGCCAATGAGAACGGAGGAAGCCTCAACTATTGTAGATGGGTAGAAATTATGGAATGGTAGCTAGGGGCTGCTCCGGGACAAATATTTTTACATTTATCAGTGGAGAAACGACCCTTAGTGCCTGCCCTATGAGGAACTAAGGCGTCACGGATTTTATGTTTTTGATTACTGGAGGGAAGGTGACCATTGGCTTAAGCTCCTACGTGTGAAAGTGGGTACTCATTGATCCGGGTTTGTCTTTCCCCTCTGCTCTTCCTTCGTTTGGAAAATGGGAGCTGGCCTCATTTGTTTGTGGACAGAGGAAGGACAGCCCCCATCCTCTTTTGTTTTCTTTTTCTACCTCAGATGTGGGCCTTGTCGCTAGTTCTGTCTCCCGTTTGTGGGATGGAAGTGGGTATTTGTCTACCCCTTCCACGGTGTTTCCCATCCCGATCTCTGCCCATACTAGTCCCCGCCCATAAGTACCCGAAAACGGGGGGTAAAAAAATTGGCGACAAGAGTATGTTGCCCTAATGATTGGAGGTAGTGCAAGGGATATGGGTGGCACAACTAATGGAGGTAAGAGAGCTTAAAGGTGAGAGATATAGGGATTTGTGGTGTACTGGTATTTGATACTATTAAAATATATATGTAAATAGAAAGATAAAATAAGTGGTATAAATAAGAATTGCCTTCTACTACTACTACTTAGCATACTATCTGTTTATCCCAGTAACTGTATTTATATATAGTTTGATATTAGATTTATAAATAATAGAATTTCCTTCAGGCTTAATTGTATTCTGATTACCTTTAAGAGGACTAGCTACTATAATCTAGAACTTGTTATAGAGTAGTGTGCAGCAGGCCTTAAATATATGAATTAGTTTTTACTAAATATATTCTATTAGGGTTAAGTCTTAAGAGAATATATTTGATATATTTGTTAAAAGCTTGAACTTGAATATATTTTTAAGTTATCCTGTATATAGAGACTGTAGTATCCTCTATTATTTATAGCTAAAATCCTGTCCTTATACCTTTTACATGCTAAAAAAAAGGCTACTAATTAGGTATTAGAATATAGAAATAATATCTTTTTATAGTTGATTGTTTTTATTCTTCCTTTTATCAAAGAACTAAGCCTGCTTTCATCATTTACCTATATCAACTTAAAGGTTATAGCTTGCTTTTACAACTTCCAGCTACTGTACTACCTACACCATTTGGAACAGTCAGCTGTCAGCATTTTATATCCCGTCCCAAAGAATCAGCATTCTCATCAATGTTAGTTGGTACTGTTCCAACTATTAGAACCTGTTAGTTGAAACAAATTTAGGAACTATACTGGTATTGTACTGTATTATATACAGAATCCTATCCTTTGTTTTCATTAAGTTCCTACTGACCTAAGATAACTTGTACTCCTATACCACATTGACTTAATCCTATAGTAATTAGGTACAAAAGTAAGATTTTTGATCTATAACACTGTTATGTACATGGTCTGAGAGCCTTCCCATAGTAGCAATCTGAACTTGCACTCCAAGTACTCCTCCTATCTGCTGCACCAGTAGAGTTTATCTCATCTTGATCCCATTACCTTACTTCTCTATCATACTCACTCTCAGTCTCTATATTAGACTCATCAACTTGTTGAATTCTATGATTGCGGGAAAGGTATACTGATATAAATCCAATGGAGAGTCAAGGGTCCTGAAGGCAAATTGCAATCAGATACAAGGCTTTTATTCTTTTTGGTTTGACTACTTTGACTAATACCCTACATACAGTTTATTTTCTGGTAACATCATATCCTTAAGCTTAGGAATTAGGTTTATCATTCAACAGAGCTGATCTAGTACTTGCCTAATCAGAATTGTGAATATAGTATATATCTTGTCCTATTGTATTTTGTGTCAGTATAAACTGTCCTAAGTACATTTACCTAAAATTTATAGTCAACAATTTATATCTGTCCTAAATTGTATAGGTAGTACAGTACTTGTTTGCTTGTAATCTGGGGTACTTTAAAGAGTACCTAATAGCTTAATATTACTCTCCAGCTCAATATTATATTGTAGTTCAATCTTACTTTATAAAATACTATAGAAATTCGAATAATTAAACTGTGTACTATGCAGTCCAATTAAGGTGAGTTATGCCAAGAGCTTTAGTGAAAAATCATGCAATATCAGTTTCACTGCCAGTGACTCTTGGTATTTATTTAAAAAATACATTAACTTTATCTTTTAACTCACTTACTTTTATACTATTGTTCTTATTACTGTCTTCATCTAAGTTTCTATCTCCTTACAGTTTCCAATTTGCTAATTGCTAAGATAGGAAATCTGTTTCTACTTCCTTAATAGAAAGTTCTTAGTCAGAACTTCTATCAATCAAAAGGAATAATCTAACAACATAAAAGACCTACCAGATAACCTGTTGCTACTTCTTAGAGAACTGCTCCCAGGCATCTCCAATTTCCTAAGTAGTAGCA